TTTTCGCAAAATATTTTAACAAGAATAGTAATGCCACTCATCCGATGTCTCACAAATACTGAATGATCTGACTTGCACGGATTGAACTTGCACGTGCTCATCACCTAGCTGAACTTATCAAACCACACTTGAGGACTTTGTTTTAGCACATATATTGCCTTTTGAAGCATACAAACCATATGCTTTTGCTCCCTTAAGCAACATACCCAAGAGGTTGGTCTATGAATATGGTTTGTAGAGAAAGACATTCTTTACATTCAACTGGTACATTTTCAAGTCATTATTTGCAGCCAAAGAAAACAAAATCTGGACAAAATTCAAACGTGCAACCGGGGAAAATGTCTCACAATAATTTACACCATAGGTTTGAGTGTAACCTTTAGCCACCAATCGATCTTTATAATAATCAATGATATCATTAAGCTGATACTTATGAATAAATGCCCAATGATAGACAACAAACATCCATTTCTGTAAGAGGGAAAACCAAGTGCCAAGTGCCAAGTACCATGGGACATGTCTTCATCCATAGCAGTGAATTGGCAAGGCCTAATGATAAGTTCCAGAAATATGCACAGAAGAAAGCGACACAAATAAACAACGGAAACTAGGAGTAATGTTATCAAATGAACCAACATGAAACATGATAAGTACATGTTCAAGTACGTTTCCGAAGGCAACAGGAAGATTAAAGTGATTAGTTTCGATAGGACTAATAGAATAGTGATAAGTGAAGTGGATGAAGTATCGGAAGCAGATGGAAAGAGACCCTTGTGACATGTATATGCTTTAATAGAAGGAGAAGGAACATACACGCTACGCCGGTAGAGAGGAACCCCATATGTGGCAATGAACAATGTCAAAGGGAGAGAGAGACCTATTCTTGACTTTAGGTGAAAAGAAAGTATGACGAAATGTGCCTAACTTGCACGAAATTCTAAAATATAAATAGGAAAAAGTAACACAGACGTTAGTATAGGGAGGGAAGGATGACCAAACGATTGTGCCACTAATAAGGTGTAACTTTAACAAAAAACAAGGTGTGGTTTCTCGTTCCAAAACAGAATCTGAATATCAAGCTATGGCCCAAGGTACATGCGAAATAATGTGAATTATCCAACTCTTAAAGGAAATAAAAATGGAGGCTACAACTCCCACTAAGCTCTATTGTGATAACCCGGCCGCCATGTATATCGCCTCTAATCCAGTTTCCATGAGCGCACCAAACACATTGAAGTCGACTGTCACTTTGTGTGAGAAAACATACAACAAAACATAATTACCACATAATTCGTTTGGACAGAAGATCAACTAGCAAGTTGGGCATGACTAACATCTATGCACCAACTTGAAGGGGAGTGTTAACTGCATTGGAATATGCAGCATTATTATGATAGTAATATGAAAATGCATAGCATAATTATTATCCTAAAGAATGTAGGTAGTCTTAGAAACTTGTAGAAAGTATTGAATAAAGGCTCTAGACATTTATGTTGTATATATGTATATATATGTGTGTAATATGCACACATGAACATAATAGAAAATACCAATGGTATTAGAGCTTCATAGAAGATCCTAGGGCAGCGAATAACCTGATTCTAGGCGTGAAGATTCAGGCCATATTCATCTCACCTCCGGCGAGTGGAGGTTCGGAGGTGACAAGCGACCTCGACGGCGGCGGTTTGGAGTGCGTGTGAGTCATGTGCTCAGCTGCTGTTTCGGGCCAAATTCACGCACCAGTGTGTACGACGGCATTCGGTGCTACGGAGGGTGGTGTCCGGTGCTCCGGCAGGTGAAGCTAGGAACGGGTTTCGGTCCAGCGGGTGTGAGTTTAGTTCCAAACTATTGCTCCCAGATTTAGTGGGGAACCCAGATTTGTTCACTGGACAATCACATTCCAGTGTGATTTTCAAATTAGCAACAATTCCAGGTTGTTGTCAAGTTCGAGATTGTTGTTGTAGAGTTCCAGATTGTTTTGCCATTAATCAATCATGCGTGAGAACAAGCCTATTTTTGTCTCTGAAGTTGTTCCAGTTACATCCAAAATTATCGAGTACAAACTTAATGGATTAAATTACTTTGAGTGGACCAAAACTGTGAAATTATACTTGCTAAGTATTGAGAATGATGATCACTTGGAGGAGGACCCACCTACCGGTGAAAAGGAGAGAAGGCCATGGCTTCGGAATGATGCAAGGTTATTCCAACAGATCAAAAGTTCGATTGATATCGAGGTCTACGGTTTGGTGAGTCATTGCAATACTGTCAAAAGACTTATTCAATTTTGGAGTTCTTATACTTGGGTAAAAGGAATGTTACCCGAATATATGATGCGTGCAAGACTTTTTATCGGGCTCAAATGGCAGACATATTCCTTTTGAATTATTTTATGGACTTCAAAAGGACATATGAACTCATGCCTTTTTGTGCCGATGTTAGAGAAGCGAGTATGAACCAATAAAACCTCAGATATTGGGGAGCTCTGAAAACACTTCTCTACAGGATATATTCTCTAGGGTCTTCCGACCCGACTTCCATCCAGTCTCTTCCAACGTAGCCTTGGTGAGCAAGAAAGAGTACAAACCATCCAAATGCAAAAATCGCCAAGGAACATATAAGAGTAACCTGAACATCATATGTCACTATTGCAAGAAGTCAGGGCATGTTAAGAAATATTGTACGAAGTTGCAACAGAAGGATCAATTCGCCCATATAGCATCTTCGGAAGCTCAGAACTCTAAGTCATCCATGTCTGAAGAGAACCAAACACATTCATTTATTGCTATCCCGGCTATGGCCAACCCAAGTAACTCCGGCACATGTCTCATTACATCCTCCGGCTCTTGGATCCTTGATTCAGGAGCCACTGACCATATGACAAGTAATCTTAATATTTTCTTGAACAAAACATGTACAACCAAATATTTTTGGAGGCAATGGATAAACAAGTTTGTCAGGAAAGAGAATATAAGAGGGTGACTGACCATTAAGAACAGACGATAACATCCGATTAATGAGGAAACAAGCGGCGGAGACAACATTGGCCCAAAAATGTTTAGGGACACTCATGTGAATAGAAGAGCTTTGGCTATTTCAAGTAAGTGTCTATTTCTTCGTTTGGCAACACCATTCTGGCCCGGAGTATCAACACAAGAAATTTGGTGTATAAATTTTGTTTCATGAAGGACTTGAATGAATACAAATATTCTTTAGCATTGTCATTCTGTAGTATTTTGACTTAGAGATCAAATTGGGCACGGATCTCAACCCAAAAAATTTGAAAACGTGAAAACAACTTTGACCGATGTTGCATGAAGAAAATCCAGGTCATTTGAGAATGATCATCAACAAATGTAACAAAATATTTAAACCCTTGTTTAGAAGACATGGGGCAAGGACCTCAAACGTCCGAATGAGCATGGTCAAAAAGAGCCTGGACACGATCAATCTCCCTAGGGCTCAAACTGACACGATGATATTTAGCAAACTGACATGATTTATATCTAAACGAAGACAAAAGGGATAAAAACATTTTTGTCCGAGCCTTGGGAAATATATAATGTTTGTAGATGTCACGTTCCATGAGGACACCTTTTTTGTCCGAGCCTTGGCAAATATATAATATTTGTAGATGTCATGTTCCATGAGGACACCTTTTTCACTCAATCCCCTGACCTCGAGAAGAAGGGAGTCTCCCGACATCCTTATGTACACCATCAAGCACCTACACCCAATCCTCCACCAGCCACATGAGCACCAATTCACCATATCTACTCTCGATGCAACAAAAGTCACCTTCCTGAGCTCTGCACAAATCCAGCTCTGCACTCTGACTCTTCCCTGGTACCAGCATCATCCTCGTCGCAAGATCCTACAAAACTAGATGACCTTCCAATTGCTCTTCCCTCCTGCACCTACCCTATCTCTAATTCATTTTCTATGATAAGTTGTCTCATTGGTCCTCTCTCATATCATACAACTATTCAAATCAAAATTTTTACTATTGAAAATATCCTTTATCTTTACTGTTAGGAAGATTGGACTCGATAGTGCCAACTTATTTTGTCCTCCAAGAAAATTTTTAAAAAATTGGGCCTACACCACACAATTGGTGCCATTCAACTTGATGGTAATATGAACAAGAACTTTCATATCCGACGAGGACGCCATATAATAGAAGAGAAGAAAAGAAATAAAAATGAGAGTATGCAAATATTTTTTACTGAAGAAGACGGAATATAGTTTTCTTAGGGTTAGGACACAAACCCGATTTGATACCATGTCAAAGAGAAGAAAAAATAGAGAGGCATCTTGAATATCCAAATTACAATGAATTGAGTACAATACTTATAATATATTTTACTTTAAGATACATATATTCTATTTAATACTAGAATATATACTGACAATCTGGACTACAATCATGAATATCCAGATTTAGTCAAACATGGAATCTTAACATTTGATAAGGGGTAAGGCCTCAATCAAAACTTCTTAACACAATCGCCTCGAATGAAAGTTAAACTCTCTTAATATTACATCAGTAATTTAACCACCAACTGCTCAATAGTTCTTGTTTTCATGAAACTTCAATAACAAACAGATTTCGGAAGCTTGCATTTCATAGAGGGTAGTGGTATCATTGAAACCTTTTGGTTACAAGTTAAACCACAAGATAAAATATCTGTATATGCACAGAAAATAAATAAATAAATAAAAGTAAAGTCTGCACAATTACATGGTTTGATACCATTTGGTTGGTGCAAACAAAATGTCCGGTGAATTCACTTTATTATTATTATTATTAATATTATTATTATTTCTTACAAGGAATAACTTGACATGGCTTTACTTTGATGTTCAGCTGATTATTCACAGTTAAAAGGCTCCTCATTGCTCAACCAGTACATTCAAATGTCAAAGGAAGTAATGTATGCATGTCTTTTATCAGAACCAGAAAATTCATAGCCAAGAACTAAATGAAAGAATGCACCAACCTGAATGGGAAGTGATTTTGGAACAGGCACAACAGTCTGAGGTCCATAGATTATACTGCTTCTCAATATTGCAAAGTTTTTGCAGTTTGCAGATATATGATGTTCTGCTTCAACTTTCGAATTCCCATAGACATTCACAGGCACCGTCTCATCCTCTTCCTTATAGAAGGATTTGGTTCCTTCATAAACTACAGAACATCCAAATCCAAATCAAGATAGATGTTGACAAATAAGAAGCATTTCTTGTTGTTGTTTCAGATTCTTTAATTCTTGTTGATTTTCAGTAGGTGTGAAAATCAAGTCAACTCTGATAATTTTTGGTAATTTAACTTTTAAAAATTCTACCAAATATGAAGTCACAATAACAAGTTTCGAATTAGAACGCAAACCAAATTATTGAATTGATTGTATAAAACTTTTATTGTGCTTTGTGATTTTAAAACTGCATTAGATTCAATGATGAACTGAATTACTGTATTCAGCACCAAGTTGAATATACAGACCTACACTACACAAATCAATTATAATTTGTAATTCAAAAATGAAATTAGCTAACATAACTGAATCCCCAATTTCGATTCTAAGCAAGTATTACCAAATTGGTGTTCCCTGTGAATTTGAACTCATGTAAATCAGAACTCATCAATATTAAATTATCGTTGAGTTTGAATTTAGTTGGAAAATTGATAATCACCAAATTTTGCATACCCCTGAACTTTTCAGCAGTGCAGAGAGAATAAAAGACAAATGAGATACAACAGAGGCTGGAAAAGGCATAAACTTACCGAAGTTCAAAGAAAAGCAAACTTGATGAAATAACTACACTGAATAAGGAAGTTAATTGTGATCTACAAAAAATTGAGATGTGGAATATTTTGGGAGTTCATTTAATTTTAGAAACCCTAAAGAAAACTCCTGCAGTGCTAAAAACAATTAGCATCAAAATGAAAAGAAGGTTTCTGTGCTGCTATCAACGAGTACAGAAAGGAAATCTGATATGCAGAATAAAAGAGAGAAAGCAACTAACCTTGATCAGTTGACAAATGAATCAGAAGAGCATTACTCCTTTCAAAGCTTGATAACCATTTCACAAGAGCTTTAGGGACATTGATTGCCATGGCAGCTTCTGGATCCATCTCGCATGCACGAGGAACGGAGAGAGCAGCACAATTGATTACCACATCACACTGAAATCCAAACATGGTTTATCCAATTAAGCTCTCCCAAAAAGCATTCGTGTTCTGAATCACTAACACAGAGATGTATCATCAATACACCTTTCTTCATATGCAGATCAATATCTCACTTGTGTACACCACAAACACCTAAATCAGGCAAAAACCACGCCAAATCCCACACAAATATATATATATCGCCCAATAGCACCGGTAATTTCGATAGCAGATACGAAATCCAACCCCGCACAACATAACACGCTCGAGTCCCAAAAAGTGAAGACGATACAATGACAATAATGAATGGACGGCAAACTGTACAAATTATGGTATTGCAATGTAGAAATAAAAACCTGTCCGAAAGCGTGGGATATCGCATCGAGGCCATTGCCGGTGCGTAAATCGACTGGAAAAGGGCGAGCACGGGGAATGGCATTGAGCAGCGCCTGGGAAGGAGGAGCGGAGTGATGCGTGAATGCAATATCCACAGGCGAAGTCCATCGAGAATCATCGGAGAAGAATTGGAGGAGGTGCTGCCCTAAGTAGCCAGTGCCTCCAACAATCAGGATTCGCTTCTTGCTCATTTCTTTCTTCTCCAGAGGTTCTCCTCCTCACCTCAGTTCTCCGCCTCGCCACCGATTGGCCTCCGGCCGTCGCAGGCCCGTTCCTGACTTTATCGAGGCCCGGGCAAAATTAAAATAGTGGCACTAAACATATATTTTTATATTAGTATAATAAAAAAAATAATTTTACACATTTTTAATATAAATGTTAAAAATAAAATTAACTTTTATATATTTAAAGATAAAAATATAAATATAATATAATATTTTTTAATATAATATAAAAAAATTTAAAAAAAAATACTATGATTTAATATTTTTTAAAGAATATTTTTTATAAATAGCTAAAATCTTTAAAAAAAGTTTTCAAACAAAGGTATTATTTAAGGTGTTTTGTTTTATATTTTGGTTTGAAACTTTTTTTTATATAAGGTATAACAAATTTTGTAAATAATAAAAAAATAATTAACTTTGTTTACTTGTAAAATTTTACTTTTGATTTTAGTATTCCAACTTTATTTTCCTTTAAAAAATATGACAATTAGGTGATAGTTGTTAGCTGATTCAATTAGCTGGTTTGACTAACTGATTCGATTAGCTGTTTGTATTAAAATGTTTGGTAAAACAACTTTTTGATATTAGCTGTTTATAAGTAAAATGACAATCGATGACATTTCTATTTTATTTTTGTTTCTAATATATTCAATTATGTTCTTTTGAGTTTAAAATGTTTAAAATTTTTTGTTATTAGTTATTGAAAATTGTAAAGTGTTATAAAAGTATTTATTTTTATTACAATTAGATTTAAAAAATAATATATTTTTATTAAAATATATAAATAGTTTTTTTTGTATTAAAAATGATGTAAAATATAAAATAATAAATTTTTCGTGTATATATTTATTATGTTAGTTATTGATTAGTTCATTATATTTATAATTTTCAATAAATTTAATTTATTTTTAGTATAAAATTTATATAATGTAATTTTAATAAAAAAACAAATTATTAATATTTATATTTTTTAATTTTATGTTGATTTTAATAAATTTATATATTTTACAATTAAAATAATATTTTATATAAAAATTAATTATTTTAAATTTATAAAAGTAAAACTATAATATAATAAAATATTCTAATATAATTAATAAATAATCAAAATATATTTATTTGTGCAAAATGTATAATAAATTTTTAAGTGCATATAAGGAATAAAAAAATTTTTACAGAAAAAACTATTTCAAAACGCTGGCTAAGTTAGCTTTTCAGAAATTAGCTTTTTGGGTCCAAAAAGCTATTTTAAAAAGCTAATTTACCAAATACCTAAATTAGCTTTTTGACTGGTCAAACAGCTAAAAGTTGTTCAATAAGCTAAAAGCTCTTAAAAAAGATATTTGTCAAACACCCCCAAATCAAACACTCAATTTTCATTTATTTTATTATACTAAAATCTAATTTTACATTCAAAATATCACATCAATACATATTTATATCACATCAAACATCTATTTCAATTCCAAATATTACTATTCAAAATCAAAACTCAAAATCAAAACCCCTCAAGTAATATATTAGTTTTTTTTTAAAATATACTGAAAATTTTTTGGTAAAAAAAATAAACTCATTATATAATACACAATTTTTAAAAAATATCACCAAAAAATATAATAGAATATACAAATTTAAATATATAACCATAAAAACAAAAATATAAAAAAGACACAATATTATTCTCTATAATATTTTCATAATTTTACATAATTCACAACAGAAATATATAAAATTATACAATTAAATAAACACACTAAAATATATAAATAAATAATTAAAAAATTAATATAAACATAATTTATTTAAAAAATAATATGAAATAAATTTTTTTTTATTTAAAAATTAATTTTATTTATTCTTTAAAATATTTAACAATAATAATAGTATATATTTATATATTAAGTATATAAGAGTATATATATACATATAATTGGGGGCTCCTATCTCTAGAAAAAATGGGCCCTGGGCCCAGGGCCGGGCCTGGGCCGTCGTCGTCAGTCACATCTGAAAATGCTTACTCAAAATCTTCGGGTGAGCTTCGGGTTCGGTGGGTCCAAGTGACCAAATATATACTCTCCTCAGTTATCAAACATTTTACAATATTTTTAAAATATGAAATAATTAATTATATTTAATCTTTACTTCCACACTATATCTCCTCATATCATCCAAATAAAAAAAATAAAATATATATTTCTCTCTTCATCATATCACCTAATTTCTAAATTATCCTACTTAATACTATCCACCTAAAAACTCATGCCAAAAACAAATGTTACACCTTGCTTGGGACGGAGGGAGTATATTTTTGTTATGAAATGTACACGAAGTGTGTTGGGGTTTGGATTTTGAGTTGAGATTTGAATAGTAAAAATTTTGTATTTGAATAGTTGTATGATATTACGTAAACAGGTGTTGATTTGATATTTTGAATAGAAAATTGAGTTTTAGTATAATATAAAAAATGAAAAATAAGTGTTTGATTCGATATTTTTGGGAAAAAAAAACAGAATGAATAGTATATTCTAAATCCAATCCCCCAAACAAACACACCCGAAGTATATACATGTACCCAAAGTAGATAAAGTATATATTTAGCCGCATTCGTTGATCTCATTTACCTATAAATATTGGAATTCATCGAAATGAAAATACTGCAATTTACTCTATTCATCTACTCGTGCATTTAGCTTATAAATTCTAACTATATTCATATATATTAAATATATATATATATATTAATTAATACACATTACATATATTTGTAATTATTATACATATTTAATGCATTCACACAGGCACGTGCATACATACACATACACTAATATATTCATATGTATCATATATATTATTATATATATTTATAGCATATATATAAAATAGTGGTTAGTGGTAGAAATAATTAATATTTCTATTTGTTAATCATACAATAATATTACAATACATTTTCAACACGATTGTGCATTTTAATTTTCGCAAGGTAATATTTTATATTCTATTTGTTTATTATGTCTAACCTTGTCAAATAGGAATTTCTCCATCTTCTCGTTTCTGGCCAAAATTATATGGCATGGGCTCGCGATGTTAAAATGCATCTAGCTTCAATGGGCTTGGAAAATACCATTGCAACTGGATAAAAATCCCCCGAGCCAAGATCGTGCAAAGGTCATGATCTTTTTGTGCCATCACATTGATGAGGCACTGAAAATGCAATATGTGACATTGGAATCCCCACTTGAATTGTAGGAGAGATTGAAAGAAAGATACGATCATATGAGGCTGACTATGTTGCCAATGGCACGGAGCGAATGGCAAAGCCTACGGCTTCAGAACTTTAAAACAATCAAATAATATAATTCTGCCATGTTCAAAATAACATCACAACTGCGCCACTGTGGCGAAAATATATCTGAATTTGATATGATGGAGAAAATTTTCTCCACTTTTCATGTCTCTAACATGGTGTTGCAGCAACAATATTGCGAAAGAGGCTTTTAGAAATATTCTGAGCTAATCACTTGTTTTTTGCTGGCCGAACAAAACAATGAATTGCTGTTAAAAAATCACGAGTCTCGGCCGACGGATGCAAATCAATTTTCAGAGGCAAATGCAATACAACTGGCAAATCTGGTGCGTGGTCGTGGGCAAGTCAGAAATCAACGAATTGATCACGATCGAAATCAGAATCGTGGCCGGGGCCGGACAAACGCATACACGGTCACAATAATTATCAAAACAGGCCCCCGATATGTGCCAAATCGGCTCGGTAATGACAGAAGGCCGTGCAGACCTCAACAAAGGCTCAACACCAGGAGACACAAAAACAATGACGAGGAATGCACCCGGTGTGGAATCAAAGGCCATTGGGCTCATGTTTGTCGCATAGCCAGTCACTTGGCTGAATTGTATCGGACCTCAAAAGAAAGACAGGGAAGAGTTGCTGCCGAAACAAACCACACTGCCCATGATGACACATTTGACGATGTGATAAATGAAAATATCACGTACCTGGATGCTGATGATCTGCTTGACATAGCCGATGATGTTAAATGATAAAATATTGGTGTATCTCTTTTGTTATTTTACTGTTTTTTGCCCCCTTTTTGTATTAACCCCTATAATATAAGTCTATTTTGATTATGTTACTAATACATGTGTTTTATTATTTTTACCTTCTTGCAAAGATATGGATACTAAATATTTTGGAGCCGATGACAATATCTGTTTTACCGACAGCGCTACGACTCACAACATTCTGAAAAACAAATGTTATTTCTCTCAACTGAATATGGGAAAGACCACTATTGTTACTATCATTGGTGCATCGAAAATGATTGAATGCTAAGGAAAAACTACTGTATTTCTCCCTAAAGGGACAAAAATGACAATTGAAAATACTATATTCTCGAGCAAAGCTAAAGGAATTTACTGAGCTTCAGTGATATTCGGAAAAATGGGTATTACATTGAAACATTGAATGAGACAGAAAATAAGTATCTCCTGATAATTCAGATTGTGAATGACAAAAGAATTATAAAAGAAAAATTGCCATTATTTTCTTCCGGCTTATATTATTCAAAAGTCAGTGCCGTTGAAATATATCACCTAGTAGACCAAATGGCTGCTAGCGAATTTAAGACTTGACACGATCGACTTGGGCATCATGGCAATGTAATGCTGAGACGAATTGTTGAAAATTCAAATTGCTACTCATTGAATTATAAATCAACATTTTGTTTAATTGATTTCAGCACTTATGTGTGCATAAAAGATAATTTTATACTATATTATTCAGCACGACATCAGTTGTCGACACATACTTTTCAATACTCTTCCGATCACTATCACTACCTTTCTTCCACCATCGCCGCCGCCCTCCGCTCAATCATCCCATACTACTTAAAACGCAAATTACCACTCACCATCGCATTGCTCAACACCAACGATCCACCATTCACCACCAATGACTTTCCACCCATCAATCAAGCCTACACACACTCCCGGAGAATGGAGATCACCGCCAGAACAATGGCGATGGCAGCGACAGCAACATCGTAGATGACAGCACTAGCAGTGG